GCTTCTATGATATAACTTACCCCAGTTTTTCTTTTTCATTTTTCTTTGCTTGTTGATGTTTTTGACGTGTTATTAAATTTAGATTTCTGTTATTTATTATCGTTCGTTGTGCTATATCCATATACCGATTACTGATGGTGCTTTTTTCTTTTGTTTGATCGCAGATCACGTCGATGGATCCATTCTCTACCAAACGAATACATCCATGGGTTAGCCATCTTCCAGAAGAAGTCAAGTACGAAGTCAAGTACGAGAAAGTGGTGGGGCATGGTCTTAACGCACAAGAGCTTGCACGTAACCCTAGACTCGATTACTTCTTCGTCAAGGATCTCAACGAAGATCAGAAATTCGAGTTCGAAGACAAGTCTTTCGACGCTGTTTTATGTGCTGTCGGTGTACAGTATCTACAACAACCCGATAAAGTGCATGACCGTAAACCAAAACCAATTTCGAAAAACTGCCGGAGATCGACGGCTGAGGGGTGACTATAATAAATAGACTTTTTATGTAACTTTTGTTTGAAATTATTATGGTATTGTGTTATGTTTTTATTGAGAAATGACATTGTTTTACTTTAAATCATGTTCTGTATTTTTTTTTAAGTTCTGTTGAGCAAATATCTCGTAGTTTATCGTTTCTTACAGTGCCTGGTTCATAAATCTATATCGAAGAGTTAGATATGTGTTCATATTTAATAATTAATTAATAAATTAAAAGATTACGTCGAATCATCAAGATATATCCGAACATTGATTATTTAGTTCTCTAAAAAAATTGGACTGTTTGTGCTTATTGGTAAACTGTGAAAAAAGCTACACGACTTCAGATTTCCGTAGCATATGGAATCATTATACACAGTTCCATACCCTAAGTATTACAATTATTTTAGGCTTGTATAAATGATTATTTTATGTATTCTGACATTTAGACTAACGAGACAAAATATAGGTTCGATTATAATATCTACTATCACAAATTGTTATATACATGTTATGATTATATTGTTAATATAAAACTTTCTCTGTGATTTTATTAAATTATAGCATTTTTACTTTTATACGATAATGTTTACATATTCGCAACAAAATTTACATATATCCCACACATTATCGATACTCTAAATTATATACTTTCCAAAAAATAAGTGATATATATACTGCCCGAAAAAATGATATCTACTATCACAAATTGTTATATACATGTTATGATGTTTATATTGTTAATATAAAACTTTCTCTGTAATTTTATTAAATTATAGCATTTTAACTTTTATACGATAATGTTTACATATTCGCAACAAAATTTACATATATCCCACAAATTATCGATGCTCTAATTTATATACTTTTCGAAAAATAAGAGATACAATATACTGCCCGGAAAAAAGGCAAATATATTGAATAGTCTAAAATATCCTGTATTGTTTAACATTCTTGTATATATATCAAGGCACGTTCAGTGATGTCTCATAAGTTAACCTAATTCGCAAGATTTTCTCTACTCTTCCTTTTTTATCAATCTATATGACAATAAAAAACTATCCTAGAGAAAACTATCTGACGTGTCTAGACTCTCGGCTCTTGTTGAGCCCTTGATTTTGCGTAATTACTTAAATACCTTCGATTATACCTTCTATTAAATTAATTCGAATATTAATTAAAATTAAAAAATTAACTGACCCTAATATCGAATATTTATATTTTTATTTTAGGGTAGATATGTATTTTAACCTTAACTAATTAATATTCGAATTTAATAAAGGGTATTTAAGTAATCACACAAAAGCAAGGGCTCAACAAGAGCTGTGAGTCCGACACATCAGCAAAAACACTTCTCAAATATTGTTATTTATAGATTATAGATTATTATAAATTATAAATTATAGATATATTCTAGAAATATGACAGTTATAGTATTGTTACTTTTTAAAAACTAACTAATGTGAGATAATATCGAGTTTGTATACGATGATAACGAGATCGTTAAATGTTAATATTCCTTTATTCTATTGAGTATATCTTAAACTAATATTCTAAACAGTTAACTATCCAATTTATTTATTTTTATTATTATTGATTTTCCATTGCTTATCTCTGATTTTATTACTTACGCCGACAGAGCAAAACCCTAGGTTTAAGTCGAACTCCATCCGGTATAAATACATTGCCTGTGTCCGCTTCTATGACATAACTAACCCCCGTTTTTCTTTTTCTTTTTTCTTTGCTTGTTGATGTTTTTGACGTGTTATTAAATTTAGATTTCTGTTATTTATTATCGTTCGTTGTGCTATATCCATATACCGATTACTGATGGTGCTTTTTTCTTTTGTTTGATCGCAGATCACGTCGATGGATCCATTCTCTACCAAACGAATACATCCATGGGTTAGCCATCTTCCAGAAGAAGTCAAGTACGAAGTCAAGTACGAGAAAGTGGTGGGGCATGGTCTTAACGCACAAGAGCTTGCACGTAACCCTAGACTCGATTACTTCTTCGTCAAGGATCTCAACGAAGATCAGAAATTTGAGTTCGAAGACAAGTCTTTCGACGCTGTTTTATGTGCTGTCGGTGTACAGTATCTACAACAACCCGATAAAGTGCATGACCGTAAACCAAAACCAATTTCGAAAAACTGCCGGAGATCGACGGCTGAGGGGTGACTATAATAAATAGACTTTTTATGTAACTTTTGTTTGAAATTATTATGGTATTGTGTTATGTTTTTATTGAGAAATGACATTGTTTTACTTTAAATCATGTTCTGTATTTTTTTTTAAGTTCTGTTGAGCAAATATCTCGTAGTTTATCGTTTCTTACAGTGCCTGGTTCATAAATCTATATCGAAGAGTTAGATATGTGTTCATATTTAATAATTAATTAATAAATTAAAAGATTACGTCGAATCATCAAGATATATCCGAACATTGATTATTTAGTTCTCTAAAAAAATTGGACTGTTTGTGCTTATTGGTAAACTGTGAAAAAAGCTACACGACTTCAGATTTCCGTAGCATATGGAATCATTATACACAGTTCCATACCCTAAGTATTACAATTATTTTAGGCTTGTATAAATGATTATTTTATGTATTCTGACATTTAGACTAACGAGACAAAATATAGGTTCGATTATAATATCTACTATCACAAATTGTTATATACATGTTATGATTATATTGTTAATATAAAACTTTCTCTGTGATTTTATTAAATTATAGCATTTTTACTTTTATACGATAATGTTTACATATTCGCAACAAAATTTACATATATCCCACACATTATCGATACTCTAAATTATATACTTTCCAAAAAATAAGTGATATATATACTGCCCGAAAAAATGATATCTACTATCACAAATTGTTATATACATGTTATGATGTTTATATTGTTAATATAAAACTTTCTCTGTAATTTTATTAAATTATAGCATTTTAACTTTTATACGATAATGTTTACATATTCGCAACAAAATTTACATATATCCCACAAATTATCGATACTCTAATTTATATACTTTTCGAAAAATAAGAGATACAATATACTGCCCGGAAAAAAGGCAAATATATTGAATAGTCTAAAATATCCTGTATTGTTTAACATTCTTGTATATATATATCAAGGCACGTTCAGTGATGTCTCATAAGTTAACCTAATTCGCAAGATTTTCTCTACTCTTCCTTTTTTATCAATCTATATGACAATAAAAAACTATCCTAGAGAAAACTATCTGACGTGTCTAGACTCTCGGCTCTTGTTGAGCCCTTGATTTTGCGTAATTACTTAAATACCTTCTATTATACCTTCTATTAAATTAATTCGAATATTAATTAAAATTAAAAAATTAACTGACCCTAAAATATAAAAATTCGATATATTTTACATTTTAAAAAATAGTAATATTCTTAAACACGAAAAAATGAAAAAAATAAATAAATTTGGATCAAATGTAGTTTACATACCTTTTTTATGACGGTTTATCGTTCGACCAAGAACATCCAATGATTAATCTCCACCAATCTAATCATGGTCGTGAGTCACATACAATTACGTCGGAGAAAGGATTGGTCGTGTCTTCTTATTTTCTCTTCCTTTTCCGTGTTTTTTTTTTTTCCTTTTTGGTTCTTTTTTTTTTCAACAAAAAATGTGTCTCATAATTAATCGTTTAATTATATTTTTGATATATTAATGGTAAATTTATGTTGTGATAATTACGAGCCAATTGTTTTTAAAAGTAAAATTTACTTTTCTAAAATATTTAGATATTGCCGATAATATCAAAACAACTATCATATATTCTTTAAATTCACAAATCTGATAAAATAAAAGAAACTTTCTTTTATATTTTATACCGATAATGATGGTGTATCTAAATAAATGTCAAATATAATTGTAAATCTAAAAAAAATTATGTTATTGTTCCATTTTTTAACAAATAAAATAAGGAATATTTTTATATAATTAATATCCATAGTAGTTATTAATTGTTTTTAGGAATATTAATTGTTTTGATAAAGATTTGATCTAACACAATATATAAATCTTCATTTCTTGTTGTTGTAATTATCTTCAAAAATTAAAAAAATTAGATCGTACACCGCCTTTCAGTTTAATATAAATACCTTCTCTAGGTTTCACTTTCAAATCATAACTAACCCCATTTTTTTTTGCTTTTTTTTTTTTTTTTTGCGTTTTATTTTATTTGGCTTTACACATATGAATTCATGGTGTTTATGTATTGTTATAGGTTACGGATGCAACGTCGTTAAACAATTCCAGGACAATTAAATTGTTGATTCAATCGAACATATGGTGAGTTTTTCACTTTAGTACTTTCATGTTTAATATTTAAATTATGCTTGGTGTATTGAGAAATCTATAAGCTTTCCCATAATATTTTGCGAGCAGCTTAGATTTCATATTCTTCACTAAAAAAAAAAAAGAAGCTTTGATTTTGTATTTACCATATTCTTCACTAAAAAAAAAGAAGCTTTGATTTTGTATTTACATAATTTGATATCAATTTGATTATTGGTTCCATCATGATGCAAATTACGGCCTCTCAACAACCCCAATAGACTATAATCGTTGGGAACTCTTCTTTTTCTCTTGCTTCTCTCTGATTATCTTTCACCAGGAGTCTCAATTATTATTATTTCTTTGTATTGATGCGATCAGAAGTTTTATCTCTTTTTTTAAATAATGATCTCTTTATGGATTTTTCATTTAGGTATGAACATGGTTTGTTTCACGGGGTGTTTCGGTGTCTTGCCTTGAATCAAGGCGTGTAAAAACGTAAAGCTTGCTTTTATCTATCTTTTTTTATTGTCACGTCTTTATCCATCTATGTAACGCTTAATCATCAATTATTATATTAAACTTCAATAAAGGCTGGTGTACCAAATTCATGGTTTGTTTTATCTGATTAGTGTACCAAATTCAATTGGAACTATATCAGATCCATGAAATTATTGATTATTGATACATGCAGGTTATGTGTGATCCTTATACACCAGCTGGTGTTCCAATTCCAACCAACAAGAGGCACAACGCTGCTAAAATTTTCAGACACCAATCGTTGCCTCCGAGGAGCCTTGGTATGCTCATCTTCTTGTTTTTTGGCTATACATATTATTTTCGTTACTATAAATTCTAATAGTGTTTGTTTTTTTAAACGATTGTATGTTTTGGATGAATGAAAGCAACCACGATGCATGAAGAAGATTCAGGTGATGTTTCAATTGATCTTTTATCTTTAATTTATCGATTTTCTAATTTTACAAAAATGTTCTCACCGAGTAGAATATACTTTTGAGTTTTGAGTTAAATCTTTCACAGTCTGTTGTGGATTAGCAACGTTTCAAGCCATATTAACTATTGTGTTGTGGCAGTTCGAAAGATTCATATAAATTGGACTATTGCTACAAAAAAAAACAGAATCACAGGTTTCATTCTATCAAAGGAGATAAAGCCTCTTATCTCTACTGTCTTTGAGGGTAAAGATGCTAATGTCATCGCCCACGGAGCAAGAAATTGCGGAAAAACATATCTCATACATGTATTGAAAGCAATCCCATTAAGGTATTGATTATCAGACATGATACTATAGATGAAAAATGCTAATTATTGTATCGCATGGTTTGTAGGGAAATGATTATGCTCTGACGCTCAAAGGAAACAGACACCTTTGACTGTGTCTGCTACTTCTAGAAAACAGACAGTGCTAAGGGGAAATGTGACAGAGAGAAAAGACTAAAATCAAAGCAAGGTAAATCTTTAAGAAACAACTTTGTATCAACTCTAAGCCTCAATATCCATGATATACCTGCATCTGCTCTGTTGTTCAGTTTTAGAACATCAAATAATGATGATTTTTTTTCTCAATGTTTGTATGAAACGGTTCGCGAAGCAAACGATTCAGTGAAATGTAAAAATAGCATGTTGGAAAATTTAATTAATACGTCATGAAGTGGAATAATCTAGATTCTTCCTTTACAAAGACGTAAAACAGAGGGTATAGAAACAGAGACTAAGAGACCAAGAGTCTTAATTAAGGAGGTTTGGTATACCACTTAACCCTAATCAATCCACTACTTACTTGATAAAGACATATTCTCATCATGTATATTTGATTAGATTAGCTAGGCTCGTAATATGGGACAAAACCCCGAAGATGAGCAAGAAATGCTTTGAAAGATTTTATCGTAGCATGAGTGTCATATCTGCACCCTTCAGTGCTCCCTTGTAAAATCAAAGTATCTGAGTATAGATACTTAATAGGTTTAAGTGTTCTTCGATCTTGGACGATATATTCCAACTTATACTGATACAGAGGTTATACAGATTTTTGGTTTTTCTAATAAAATAAATTGTTTGCTGAAAGATTGCTATACCTTTAACAATTTTATTTTGTTTGTTAGGGTCACGACATACATACTATAATTGATAGAGAGTATTATCGTCATCGTGGATTCAGGTTTTTCCAAGGACGATAGATACATGGCCGGCCCTATAGACATCAACAAGAAACTTTTGCTGTAACCCAAATTTTGTTTCTGAAATTCTTCAACAAAAATTATTTATGAAACGGACCTAATTTTATTTATTTTACTATAATTGGCCCTAAATTTTAAAACCTTTCAAAATAACCAAAAACTTTTTTTTGAGTATTTGGCCCTTCAAATCTCAGGGCAGGCCCTGGATGGATAACACTTAGAGATTTTGATTCATGTTATCGGTTTGCTTAGTCATACTTTTTATGATTTTAAAATTCATTGGAATTTATCAATCTTTGTTTCACATATACCTTCCTTGGGTGCGATTGATTACTGCGCATTCGCATCTTTTAGGAAAATTGATACTTAATTTTGAGTATGTTTATTTCCCTGGTCCCATAATATCTTTTGTTTGGATATTTTATTCTTTGCATTGTTACGGTTTGATCTATTAATTTAAATAATTATATTTAATTGGTTGGGTCGTGAGTGTTAGCAATATTGAAGACGGAAAACCAATAATAAAGTGTGGGATCAAGTTTATGTGGAATTAGAAGATGAATTGTAAGTTATTAATTTAGTCAAAATTAGATTTGTTATAGTTTAATTTGTGTAGTATGCTAAAAACTTAATTTTATAATAAATTTACGTCTATAATGTCGACTACATGGTGGATACTGTTGTAAATTTTTGAGAGAACGGAGTAAACAATGTGATAATATCACCATATTTATCATGAGATTCACTAGAATAGAAGTCACTCGAGGTATTCGAATATTGTTTTTTTTCATGTATATATAATTTCTGAATATTTATTAGTCGATCACGTTTCTATGATATTGTTTCTTATGGTTTTGGCTACTATTGTTTGCAATGGTACCCGAATGATGCTAAAAAATATGTGTGCTGAAAGTTGCAGGAATGCAGAGTTGTTTTGTGCTAAGGATCACAGAAATTTTTATTAGTTACTAAGCTTATCTATTTTTTTTGTTTCTATTTTTCCAAATTATTTTTTTCCGAATTATTTTTTTCCTAAACATGTAAATATGATCTAAAATGAAGTTTGAGGCTTTACAAAAGATAAATAATTACACAAAAGCAACCTTGGCAAAAAAGAGATAAAAACAAGACTACAGTAGAGTAAAGAAAGATTTGGAAATAGATAACGAATCCAAATAAGCATAAGCTTTGTTCATCTCGAAGTGATGATGTTTCGTAGCTCCACTCCACCATCTTGAAAATGATTTGAGCAGCAAGCCGCAAGGAGTTATGGAGAATGTTATTACGCTGTCGCCAGAACTTATAAACCACCACTTGAGATGCTACTTTTCTAAGCAAAGAAGGCACATGACTGGAAGAGCGTCAGGTCCAAGAAAATAGCTCAATCCAAGAGCAAAACAACCTTTGTTGTGGAAAAATCCTAGAGAAAACTAAATTCCACTCCTGAAAGAGCTCACAAA